ACGTTGAATGATTTACGTCTTGATTGCAACCACGTTAATTACCAATTAACGTAAAAATTATTTTTTATTATAATTTCCAGGCCATTTCTGAAACGTCAAAAATAATATAAAAGACAGCATATTAATAATAATAATAATAATAATAATAATAACAATAATAATAATAACAATAACAACAATAATAACAATAATAACAAAAACATTATTATAACAATTATAACAACAACAATAGCAATATTAATAGCAACAATAATAACATTATTACCAATAACAATAATTTGAAAATTAATCCGATATCGATATAATAATAAATCTTCAATTATTTCTAATTAACTCATTTTATAATTATTTCTAATTAACTCATTTTATAATTATTTCTAATCAACTCACTTCAATTATTACTATCATTTTCATTAATTAGTTTTTATTTATCGATAACTATCTTTCTTCTTCTTTTCTTTACTTATTTATCTATAAACTTCAATGACGATAAATTTCAATAAAGATACTATTGTTGTCATTAATAATTAAAAATTAACATCATAAAAATTATAGACAATAATAATATTTCCTAATAACAATAATAATAATAACTATAACAATGTTAATGATAATGATGACAATAATAATAACAACAATAACAATGTTACTGATAATGATGACAATAATAATAATAACAATAATAATGAAAGTAATAATAGTAAAGACAATGATAATAATAACAATAATGACCATATTAATAAAGGTAATGATAGCGATAATAATGACATTAACAAAAATAAAACTAATAACAATAATAATGATAATAATAATAATAATAATATTTATAATATTATTAAAAATAGCAATGCCATAAGAGTTATACTAATAATAACAAAAATAATGATCACAATGCAGGAAGGACACTAATAACTGCTAAACATTATCAATATCACTATCATTATCATTACAATAGCACTAATATATAAATAAAAGGGTCATGCTTCAAATAATTGTGTACGTGTGTGAGGGTGTGTGTATGCGTGTGTGTGTGTGTGTGTGTGTGTGTGTGTGTGTGTGTGTGTGTGTGTGTGTGTGTGTGTGTGTGTGTGTGGAGAGAGAGAGAGAAGAGAGAGAGAAGAGAGAGAGAAGAGAGAGAGAAGAGAGAGAGAGAGAGAGGAGAGAGAGAGAGAGAGGAGAGAGAGAGAGAAGACAGAGAGAGAGAGAGAGAGAGAAGAGAGAGAGAGAGAAGAGAGAGAGAGAATAGAGAGAGAATAGAGAGAGAATAGAGAGAGAGAGAGAGAGAGAGAGAGAGAAGAGAGAGAGAGAAGAGAGAGAGAGAAGAGAGAGAGGAGAGAGAGGAGAGAGAGGAGAGAGAGAGAGAGGAGAGAGAGAGAGAGGAGAGAGAGAGAGAAGAGAGAGAGAGAGAGAGAGAGAGAGAGAGAGAGAGAGAGAGAGAGAGAGAGAGAGAAGAGAGAGAGTGAGGAGAGAGAGAGAAGAGAGAGAGAGAGAGAGAGAAGAGAGAGAGAAAAAGAGAGAAGAGAGAGAGAAAAAGAGAGAAGAGAGAGAGAGAAAAAGAGAGAAGAGAAGAAAGAGAGGGAAGGAGAAGAGAGAGCAAGATGAAGAAAATGAGAAAGAAAGAAAAAGAAAAAGATGGAATAGAAACAAAACAAAAAAAGAGAAAAAGTAAAAAAAATCAATAAATCAAAAATATATCAGGTAAGGCAAAATACAAAATACAAAAAAATAAAAAACTACTATACAAGGACATCTAAATCTACCATAAAAGGGTCGCTTGCAAAGTGTCGCTTGCAAAAGGATCGTTGCAAAGGTTGCAGGTTGCTTCGTCGCACCCCAAAAAGGGTATTACAGAGGCACTGGTTTACACATGCACGACCAGTACCTGATGTAATACTCAGTTCGAGATGCGCACACAGGACTCCGGCATGCGTACACGAACTGCTTCGGAATCCATGCGTACACGAGCTGCTACAGGAATTCCATGCGTACACGAACTGTTTTAGCTAATGCATACATGGGTTGGTTTAGGAAATCAATGTGTACATGGGTTGGTTGGGGATCCATGCGTACACAAGCTGCTTTGGAAAATCCATGCGTACATGGATTGGTTGGGAATCCATGCGTACACAAACTGCTTTGGAAAATCCACACGTACATGGGTTTGTTGGGAATCCATGCGTATACAGGGATGGTTGGGGATCAATGCGTACATGAGCTGTTTCGGAATCCATGCGTACATGAACTGCTTAGGAAATCCATGCGTAAACTAGTTTGTTTTTTTTTTTAACCACGCGTACACGGGTTGTCTGGGAATCCATGCGCACACAGGCTGGGTTCTCCATGCGTACTTTGCTTCCCCGTGTATGCGTAAGGGGTTTTAGATGCGCACATGGGCTGGTTTGCTACGTACACAGGTTATCTCAGCATGCACACATTGTTCCAAAGAATCCTTCTAACAGATACACACGAGCGAGGTTTGTACGTACATGGACTTCCTCCTAATACGTATATAGACTACCTTCCAAGACGTACATGGATTACCTTCCAATACGTACATGGATTATCTCGCAATACGTACATGGACTACCTCCTAATACGTACATGGACTACCTCCTAATACGTACATGGACTACCTTCCAATACGTACATGGAATTTATCCATTTCATTATACGTTTACAATTAATTTCAGATATTTAATTATCTAAAAATTCTTTCATTCCATTTACATATTTATGATGACAATAACAATAAATAAACATTAAAATCATATATTTAAGAACACAAAAAAAAATCAATATAACGTTTATAATAATAATAATAAAAACAATAATTATAATACTAACAATTATGATGATGAAAATAATGATAAAAAAATGAAAATAATAAAAAAAAATAATTATAATATTAATATTAATAATAAATTTATATTAATAATAACAGTAATACAAATACAAATAATAATAACAATAATAACAGTAATAATAAAGATAATAATAATAACAATGAAAATAATAACAATGTCACTTGAAAATATTAGTAATAATAATAATAATAATAATAATAATAATAATAAAAACAATAGAAATAGTAATAATAATGTTAATAATTAAAACAGTAATAATAATAATAATAATAATAATAACAATAATAATAATAATGCTAGAGAAAACCATGCATTAAAAAAGAGAAAAAAAAAAAAGAAAAGAAAGAAAAAATAAATAAATAAAATCATGCTATGAAAATCATGCAGATTTAACATGCAAATGAGATCATGCAAAATAGGAAAATTTATATCATGCATAAGTACGTCGCAGAGTCTGCATGTGCACAAGGAACGCAGACACAGAATCCCGCTCATGTACGTTGTTCTGTGCACGCGTGAATTGAGGGAGTTTGAAGGAGTTTTTTTTACATAAATCTCACACTTGTAGTTATCATATATTTACTAAATGATTTAGTGATCAAATGTTTATCAAATGATTTAGTTATCAAATGATTATTAAATGCAATTAATTCTCTATCGTTTTGTTCTTCAAAGTTCATTAAATGTAATTATTAAACACACTATAATCTAATTCTTCAATGTTCATTAAGTATAATTATTAAACGTTTCACTATAATTTAATTCTTCAATGTTTATTAAACTCACTATAATCTAGATCTTCAATGTTCATTAAATGCAATTATTTAACTCACTATAATCTAGTTCTTCAACGTTTATTATTAAATTATTAATTATTATTACATTATTATCATCATTAAATTATTAAACGATTATTATTAAACAATTATTAAACGATTCACTATTTTCTACCATTCATCTCTCCACAAAATGCACTGATATGTTCACATCCATGAACTATATATTATGTCATGCACTATTGTGAACATATTAATGCTTTGAGTTATAAACGAGAGCTTACCCCTCTCCCCCCCCCTAAAATAATAAAACCTTAGTCGGACAACACCTTAGGATGCAAAGACCTCCAATTCACGGATGCGTAGTGATATATTTTCCTTGCAATGCTTTTCAACTGCTCAATTTCTCGTCCGTGGGATTGTCCACATGCATTTTTTTATCTATTTATTTTTTTTTACAACTTGTGCACAGAGAGACTCACATACGAACTATACGTACTCACGTCACAGGTGAA